TTAGGGAAGACTGTCCTCTGATCTGGTGCTGCTGTGGCTGAATATTAAACCAGATCACAATAAAACAAAAATTGTGGATAAAAGGGCTGACTTGTTGTATACAGGGTTAGTCAAAATGAATAGGCCAATAAGAAAATTAATTTTAGACGAATGTATGTTTACTGTAACCAAACCACAGCTACGTAGCGACAGATAAACTATCAAAGTTTTTTTGAGCAACACACATGTACGTTAATGCCGCTAGGCGTCGCTAGGGGTCGCTGTTTTCAAAATGGCGGAATCAAGCAAAGAGAAGGCGTTTTGTGTGATGACATTTGCTAAAACAATGTCAGTAATTACGGTCCAGCGAGAATTTCAAGGGTTAGGGTTAGGGTTAGGGATAGGGTTAGGGTTAGGGTTAGGGTTAGGGATAGGGATAGGGTTAGGGTTAGGGTTAGGGATAGGGTTAGGGATAGGGTTAGGGATAGGGATAGGGTTAGGTTAGGGTTAGGGTTAGGGTTAGGACCTCAACGAACACCTTCCCAGACGTTGCTGCATTCGATGCCATTACGTCGGATGTGCTGCAACGGATGTGGAATGAACTGGACTATCGCTTGGACATCTGCCGTGTCACACGGGGCGCCCATATCGAACATCTCTGAAGGTGAGACAAAACTTTGATAGTTTATCTGTCGCTACGTAGCTGTAGTTTGGTTACAATAAACATACATTCGTCTAAAATTAATTTTCTTATTGGCCTATTCATTTTGACTAACCCTGTATAATGATGGATGAATTAGATGGGGTGAACTTGTCTCCATTTTGTCCCTCCGGGCACTAGCCACCTCATCACACAAGGGGTTTTCGGCCCCTTACTTGTCTTCAGCCACAGATCCCGTCAAGCACTATCACATGACACAGGCCATGGCCCCACCCCATTGATGGCTGAAGTGGCGAGGGAGCATCACAAGCCACTTCCTTGCCGACCATGATAAGTGAATCAAATTTTGGGTAGCACCAGTTGAGCTACCCGCTGGTTTTGGCCTTTATCCCCATCTGATGGGGGAAGGGACAGGGCGTGAACACATGTTGCCACAGTTTCCCCTGTCTGTTGGGTAAGTGATAGGGCACAAATGCTCCCATGTGATGGGGGAAGGAGGGAGTACATGCGGCTTGTTGCAAGATGCCCCACACATCTTCCAGTTTGCTGGTGATTGCAGGCAAAATGGTACAAGACAGCAAGGGAAGGCATCACTTTGAGGAAGTCCCATTGATTAAAACTTGGCTTTTTATAAGAGTTTGAGACCAAAGATTTCATCCTAGTTTTAAACATATGTAGTAATACCATTTTATGCTACACTCTTGCCCTTTGCCACACTAAAAAAGAGATGGTTCTCTTTTTAGTGAAGGTACAGTTCTTGCATTGACCCTTGGATATGTTGACTCTGGGTTTTGTGGTCAATTTTTAAATTACAATTTACACTTCTACATACCACATATACTCATGTATAGGTTGATCTCATAAGAACAGATTTGAAGATCAAATTATACATTTTCATATGAGTCATATGAGTCATTCCACAGAGAGGAGAAAGCAGCAGTGCCACTTCAGTGAGTTAGCTGCTCCTGGCCACCAATCCTATTTCCTCACACAGGGATTCAAAAAGCCAACTATGCCCCACATAGGAAAGAGTAGTGAGTAGAGAAGATTGGTGCTTCTTTTAGGATTTCTTGAGATGGACTAAGCTGTTGCATTTCATCCACTAGAGTCAGAAAAGGGAATTGTTCCTTTTTAAACAGAAGGATTAATGTATAATACTCACATTGACCCATGGATACATTGACCCAAGATTTGCGGATTGATTTTTTAAACGAAAATGTATAGACTTATACATGAATATATAGCTGGTTCGATTATTGAATGCTTCCATTTTCAATGCATGCCTAGTAAGACAGCCTTTGCAATATCTATAATTAGGGCTGTGCAAAATTTAAAACAGAGCAAACAAGGTTTAATTTGACTTTAAACTCCTCTTACTTGTGGCAACCTTTCCATAAATGCAATCTTCAGTTTGATTGGTAATGTCTGCTTCTCTCTCCAGATTTTTTGTTTCATTGTGTGTTAGACAACTCCAATGTGAAATAGTAATGATACCTGAAAACAAACAATTATTCTCATCCTACTGATGTTTCTATAGAGACGAGAAAGTCAAGTTTTACTCCATAATGTTGACCCTAGAATAAAATCATGTGGATTTTATCTACTCTGCTCTTCAGTTAGGTTGGATAAAATGTTTGCTTATCTTTCCACTGTTTGTTTTTCTTTCCATTGATGGAACAATAAATAAGACTGTGTTTGTGAATGTAAACAATGATGTAATTGTTTGGCATATTCAATGTCTTTACCATTTTAAAAATCCTCAGTTAGAGAATGTATTGAAAGATATAATATAAAATGCATAGATGCAATAAAATCACAACATGAAAATATGTAAAAATCACAAAAGCATGGGAAAAGTAAGAAATCAGTGCAGATGTATTAGAATTACATTTAATTTTAATAATAAATTGTAGCTAGTAAAGTATATGGCAGGTAGCAACTTCATAGAGACATTAGTAAACAAATAGGAGCCATATAATTGTTGCCAGCTTAGTATCTTTCAGGGCTGCTGCAGAACACAAGCCCAGCAAATATATAGTTGGACTGTATTATCCCTACCTATCAAATTATCCCTCACTATTAGCTATGGCTAGAGCTGATGGGAGTTGCAGTCCAAACACATCTGGACGGCCACATGTTCTCTGTTTTTGCTATATCATTAATTAGGGTTGATATGCTAACATTCCATGGACAAGTAAAAAAAATGATCATAAGCTATCAGTTGCAGTATTTTATATTCCAAGAATCCTATTTTCCAGTTGTACATTGCCATTTTCTGTTCTTCAAAATCTAGCTTTTTTGTTTGCACAGATGTACTTTCAATTGTGGGAAATGCCTCCTGTAGTCTTAGAAGCAAGAGAAGGTGCTGAATACGATTTCTAGGGTGGCACAGCAGGTTAAACCACTGAGCTGCTGAACTTGCTGACTGAAAGGTTGTCAGTTCTATTTCAGGGGAGCGGGGTAAGCTTCCACTGGTAGGCCCAGCTTCTGCAAGCCTAACAGTTCGAAAACATGCAAATGTGATTAGATCTACGGGAAGGTAACAGCGTTCCATGCAATCATGCTGGCCACATGTCCTAGGAGGTGTCTACGGACAACGCCAGCTCTTTGGCCTAGAAATGGAGATGAGCACCACCCCGCAGAGACAAGACTACACTTAACGTCAGGGAAAACCTTTACCTTTATCTTAGACTGAAAGAAGCTGAAAGAATTAATAAGACAGTAGTTGTTTCTTGATCCATTCTACAAAATTGGAATAATCAAGTCTATTTACAAAATTTATAGCAGACACAGAATTAAGCTGTAATGAAAATTTTCAGTTAACTCAAGAATATTCCTTATTAATTTTTAAGATGCAGGATCCATATGGTACTCTTGACTATTGTTTGTTAATCATTGACCATTAACTGATTGTCTATCTCAGAATTTACTAAGCCATGTCTGGCGTGTGCAACAGAACCCTTAAAGAAGAGCGTTGGGTCTGTTTTCTTATTGTTTTCATTTTTCAAGGTGCAGATTGTGTCTGCAGGATATATATACATGTATATGCATATGTATAGATTCTGATAGCAGATTTGTTTGTTCATTGTTTCAATACTTCCACTCAGTCCATATCGATAGTAGACAACAGGGCAGGATACAGTTGATAAAACAATCCAATATGAACTCATAAAACAAGAAATGTGTACAATGCGTTGCAATTAACATTGACATAACATTCAACACAAAAAACTGAAGCAAATAAATCAAAGCTGAACTGCTGTCAGTAAGGGCCCTTCCAGACAGGCCCTATATCCCAGGATCTGATCCCAGGTTTTTTGCTTTAAACTGGATTATATGAGTCCGCACTACCAGATAATCTAAAATAAGCAGAAAACCTAGGATTAGATCCTGGGATATATGGCCTGTCTCCAAGGGCTTAAAGACTCTAAAGCTTGGATGTAAAACCAGATCTTAACAGTGTACCAAATGAGACTGATCAAGCCTCTTGTAGAAGGCTATTCCACAACAAAGGCATCACAGCTGAGAAGGCTGTCTCTCGCATCTCCTCATAATGTACAACTCAGTTAGGCCTCCTCAAACCAAGGCAGTGAGTATACATAGATCCTTCCCATATAGATTGATTTAAGGAGCCCAGTCATGCAATCCCAAGTGATTTGTACACACATATGAAGTCGCTGTATGGTATAGCCAACCATGAATAGATAGGCACAGTAGAAACAGGGAACAGAGATGGGTATGGCCAATTCGATCCAGATTTGATCTTGAATGTGTGGAGCTGGAGGCTGATTAACATAATTATTTAAATTAGACGTATAATTGTGCCTAACTGATTTACTTTAAAATGTAAGGTAGAGCTTCTGAAGTCTTCATCCCACAAAATATGGGGGCGGGCATGCAAAGCAGTGCCTTCCAGATATATGAAGATGAAACAAAATGGACAGTCATTCAAGTTTAACTATGGTGGTGTACTTAATTACAAACACACTCACATATAAGAAACAAATTTAATTGATAATAACCTTGTTGTGGTAAGCATAGTGACTCCCAAGAAAGAATTATTTGTCAGCTCCATGATTTCTATTTGTAACTAAAACGCAGACACATTTCCAGTTTGCCTTTTTGCTGCCATTTAAGGCCAGACATCCCTCAGACAGGAAGCATTGTTGTCCCTAGCTTCTTATCCTGGAATGAACTAGTTAGACGAGAATAAAAAGAGAACAAATAGTTTTTTCCCATGATAGTTTTCTCAGCCAATAGAAAAAAAATACTTTGGAAACCTTTGCTGGGTTTTGTCTTACTAATGTTTTCTCTTGTTTATAGTAAATTTGCCATTGAAGAAAGCATTGTCGTGAAAAAGAGTTCCCTGTGCAATATGTTAAATTCCCAAGGTGATTAACACTTGTAAAGCATTTTCTGTTGGAGTATATTTCCGCCTTGCACAGAGTCCAGATTTGTACAGATTTCTACAATTTAGATATAAAGCTGTTCAGAGCACATCATTGCTCTCTCATTTTGCCATATAAAATTCACAAATCAGGGCTGTTCTGGAAATGTGAATGCCCCCAGCATGAAAGCCAAAGATACCGAACAATTCAATAAGAAATCAATTAGGGCTGCAACATCTTGACTAAGGTTTATTCCTATAACTTAGAGAAGGAAGCACTTTTAATATGAATAGACATCATAGATCTATTAGTTGTGACAATATGTTGTAAGATTGTTGTTGTTGTTGTTGTTCATTCGTTCAGTCGTTTCCGACTCTTTGTGACTTCATGGACCAGTCCACGCCAGAGCTCCCTGTCGGTCGTCACCATCCCCAGCTCATTCAAGGTCAATCCAGTCACTACAAGGATGCCATCCAATCAGGCCAGCCAATCATAGTGGAGAAGGGCTTTTGGTGGGAGGATTTGCCATCTGTTTCCAAAAAGGAAGAGAAGGACAAGCAAAGAGATCTTCAGCCATCTCTGCCAAACGGGTTCCTAAGGCCATCAGAAATATATGTATCTGATGGTCTTTGGCAACCCTTATGAAACCCCCTCATGACCCTCCCAGGGGTCCCAACCCTTAGGTTGAGAAACACTGCACTATGGAAAGTAATCTGATAAACTTGTCTGTAAAGGTGAATGATCTTAACCTTTCATTTGAACATGATCTAAATACTGATTAAGCATATTCTGTCCCTGATGACAATCTAGCAAATAACCCCCTTCATCCCATCTTCCCCTCAATCACTGGTCAAGATTGCAATATGACTGGCAGTAATGGAACATGAAACATTTCAGCTCATGAAACATTAAATTTGCGGGAATCTCGGAGTCATATTGCTACTCCTGCCTCCAACCATGGCAAACTTACTGTACTTTTGTCTTCCAGCTTCATAACATTCATTTTCAATACTGTTGATGTTCTCACAATTCCCAAAGGGTTGAACACCCAAGTCAGGAAATAACTGACTTGCATACTTTACTATGAATCGACCATTGCTTCAATATATTGATGTTTCATTATTATCACTAGTAAGACAGTGTGACCTTCTCAACTTAGGTTTCTATACACACTCTTCCTTGTCAAGATCTTCAGAAGACAGATGTTAATTGAGTCAGGATAGTCCTTTGAACCTGTGGAAGATAAGGACAGGCATAAAATCACAGCAGCACACAATCCAATAGGAGTTAGACGTGGCAATTAAAGAAACCATGCATACTAGAGGGAGTTTAAGTGCTTGAAATGGCATCTTTTTATGAGCTAATTGACAAAGACAAGTCTACATCTCAGTGGTTTGTGCATCTGAACTGATGTAGTAATGTGCGGCAGGAATTGAAAGACGAAACATGTAGAGTTTGAATTATGGAACAAGGACTGAATTTCTTATAACCCGAGGGCAGTATATGGCACCAAATTGGTGTCATGAGAATGTGGATTGGATGGCAGGTCTAAGCAATTGTTTGGCGGCTTCGCTATGCCTCAAGCTTGGAATTCAGCTTAAATTAACCTTTTCGCACACAAAATGACACATCTAGGAGAGAGACATGTTGTTTTCTGTGGTGTTACTTACCTCAGGGAGTCCCAACCATCTTCAATTAGCAGTTGAATGTTGGCTTGCTCTCTTCTTTTGGAGAAAAGATGCATAGTTCTATAGTGCTTTTAGCTATTTGGGTCAATCATTTCAGAAGAAAATAAATATGGAGAACATTGTTTCTGTAGCTTTTGTGAAAGATAACCAGATGCTGCATTGGCCACTTGGATGGTGGTAATAGGAGGAGACAGAGAATTCTAAGCTATTCAAGTTTTACAAGGTCATCTTACTTTCTCAGAGCAATCAACTATTTCAGACTTGCTGTCTTATACCACCACCAAATCCAGGCCAAATTGTATTTTCTCATCCTCCTTCAGCACCACCCTCCTTATCATAATCTCAGGATTCCTTTCACTTGCCTGAGATCCTAGACTCCTGCAATTGTGGTATTTATTTTAAGCTGCCATTTCCTTCAGCTGCAAGTGATTTGATAGCTTTGGGCTGTGTGTGATTTGAGTATATTTTCTTGTTCTCTTTGCTTCACAGCTGTGACCTACTTAATTGCAAGCAGGAAACAAACTGCAAAATCATTAGACATTCTGGTTGGGTTTTAAAAGTGGGGCGGGGGTGGGATCTTTTGCTGCTAAATTCTAGGATGTCGTCCTTAATAAGAGGAAGCTAGGTTTCAGCTCCTGGAGAGAGCATTTGCATTCATTGTGCATCAAGATAAGAGGAGTGAATGGCATATTTTTCTCCTCAATATCTTATTCCATTGGGAGGAGGGACAGGGAAGTGGTAGATGTTTCAAGCAATCACCAAAATAGGAATGAGTCATACATTTTCAAACTGAGCTCATAAATCCTTTTTGTGAGCTATTGATTTTGGTCTTTTAACAAACTCATCCTGCTTTCTTTACAACAACGAAGTGTCTAGAATCAGGGTGACTGATGCAGTAGGGGTATTCCGTATAATATTTAGATATATCAGTAAATAAACTAGAAATAATTTTCAGGTGGTATAAATTATAAAACTTTACAGTATGACTTGAAGGACTCTCGTGTTATCTAAGTACCCATATTCTTTGCTTGGGGCTAGTTTCTCATGAAACATGGAGAAATCTTCAAATAATCTATCTGGACTAGACTGATCGTGTACAGTTTTTGATCTGCCCCTGTTCAGAGGTTCCAAGCTGCAGCTCAGAAACAGAACTGAAATTTGGTACATTGCGCAAGCAAACACACACACACACACCTTATCCCAGTTTGAGTCAAACTGCAGAAGGAAAAATAGGCAAAATATTTTATTACATGAGGGAGGCAAATTAGCATTGAAGTGATCGTGCAACTGCCATGGAACAGCTGCCTCATGTGATCAAGTCTATAGATCAGGGGTCCCCAAACTACAGCCCGTGGGCCACATGCGGCCCACCAAGGGCATTTATCCGGCCCGCGCGGCCTGTCCTGGCCTCGCACAAAGCCCCTCACCGCTTGCGTCAGCTGCGTTTCCCTCTCTCTCCCTCCGGAGCGGCAGAGCAGACGCATTGCTCTGCAACAGAAGATCCCTGATGGCGAGGAAGATGTCTGCGAATGTTGGAGGCGGCGCCGGGTGGGAAGCCAGCATCGCTTGGCCACGCCCACCTGGCGCCACCTCCACCATTCGCAGACACCCTCCTCGCCATCAGGGATCTTCTGTTGCAGAGCAATGGCGTCTGCTCTGCTGCGCTTCTCCCTCCACAGGCTTCTCCCTCCACACGGGAGGGAGAAGCCTGTGGAGGGAGAAGCGCTCTCTGCTCTCCCGCGGAGAACAGAGAGCGAAGCAGAGCAGACGCCATTGCTCGGCAACAGAAGATCCCTGATGGCGAGGAAGGTGTCTGCAAATTTTGGAAGCCAGCATTGCTTAGCCATGCCCACCCGGCACCACCTCCGCCAATCGTGGGCACCTTCCTCGCCATCAGGGATCTTCTGTTGCAGAACAATGGCGTCTGCTCTGCCGCTCCAGAGGGAGAGAGAGAGAGACGCCGCTGATGTTGGGAACAGATGGAAGTCAAATGATGCTAAATCTGGACTGTATGGAGGATGCCATACAGTGGTGAGATCCAGTCTCTGAAGTTCTGCTGTGGTGACATGTGAAGTGTGTGGCGTGGCATTGTCATGCTGCAGGAAAACATTTCCCTTTTCCTTTCGGACCCTTGTTAGGGGTCGTTTCAAATTTCGCAGCATTGTGATGTAACACTGAATTTATTGTTGTTCCACATTCATGGAAATCAACATGGATAACACCGTCTGCATCCCAGAACACTGTTGCCATGATTTTTCCAGCTGAGGGCTGTGTCTTGAAATCCTTTTTCTGGGCTGAGTCTTTGTGTCGATATTCCATAGACTGACGCTTCGTCTCTGGGTTGTAATGGTGTACCCATGTTTCATCTGCTGCCACAATTGAATGGAGAAAGACGTCACCTTCATTCTTGTAATGCAAGACGCACTCCTGGCGTGCTTTCATTTCAGGCGTCACCATCCTGGGTACCCACCGTGCACAGCTCTTCCAAAAGCCAAGCAAAGCAATAATGTGACCCACATATTCTTGTGAAATGCCGATTATGCTTAAAATTTCTCTTTGAGTGATATGACAATTGTCCTGAATCAATGTCAACCTTTTGTTTGTGAAACTCGGTGGTTGCTGTCACAGGACATCCAACTCTTAGTTTGTCACTCAAGTCAAATGTTCCCACCTCAACATCTTTAAATTTACTCGCCCAACAACGCACAGTACTCACATCAACACAATCACCATAAACAGCTTGCATTCTCTGATGAATCTCCTTTAGGGTGACACCTTCTTCTGACAAGAATTCAATGACTGCATGTTGCTTAAGTCGCATTGACCGACTGTCTGCACAGGGTTCCATACTTTGCACTTTAACAACACAACCATTCAATGCTAAGGCTTCTCGCCAAAATGGAGCTGGTAGAGGAGAGTGTACTGAACAAGCCAGTACCTGCCACATACCAGTACTGCCATCTGTTGAGTTACGAAGGTGGGGGCATTCAACCCGTGTGTGTGTGTGTGTGTGTGTGTGTGTATGTATGTGTGTGTATGTGTGTGTGTGTGTGTGTGTGTATATATATATATATATATATATATATATATATATATATATATATAAAGTTTTGGATATCATAGGGAAAGGTTCACACCCCTGTGGTGTTTGTTTTGCTGTCCTTACCCCTGTTCAGAAGATTCCACCCCACTTTCTATCCCAATGAGAATTGGATTGTGAAAAAAATGGCTTGTTGTAGAAACAAGGCTTGGTGATAAAGGTGCAGACACTTTTTCTCCATGATAACTCTTCCAAGAGTGATTTCCCTTCCTGGGTAGATTTCACTCACTTCCTGTTATTCCAGTCCCGTTCTTAATTACAAGTCCTTTGTAAGTTGGATGTTCATAACTCAGGGATTGTCTGTACTGGCAAATCATCAGAAGATCCAGCTTACTCGTTACTGCTGGACACGAGGAAGAGTGGTTGCTTTCCCATCAGATCAAGAGAAGCATTGTTTCATAAAATATTATAGAACATTTCTGGTATTATTTTTAGTATTTTTGTGTAGAAATATGACTTAACAGTTGCAATGTTTTATATTCTCATTTTTTCCTGTTCTTATAGTAATCAAATGCATCTTCTGTGGCATAAACAAGACTTGAGAGAGACATGAATGTCAAGGGATGTGCAAGGAATCTGACCCATTGATCTTTTTCCTTCAAACGATCTCTTTCTTCTTTTATCTGTCTTTCTTTCCTGTCCCAAATCTACCCCTTAGTATTTCTCTAGGAACAAAACACATTCTGTATTAGTTATTCAGTGCCCCCAGTGTTACTGTGGGGTCATATTCTGCCAGAGTAGCTAAAAATATCTGCAAAACAAGTTAGAAGAAAATGATCAAATAAGCTTTTCATAGTGTGCATGAGTTTCGAGAATATGCCGCTCAGGGCAAATTCTTTCAGATGCTTTCAGATGCCCTAGGCTACAGCCCAAGTGATACCCAGTTGTAGTGCAGTTGGCTACTTTGATAGGCTGTGTATTTTTGGGGTTTTTTTTACTAACTGAAGAGACAGGAAAATAACTTGGGAACACATAGTTGCAAACATCCTGAAAATCAGAAAGGGGACATTTCTTCAGGGCACAATGATGCCCTATACATATCACAAGCAGCCTATAAGAACTCAGTGAAATGTCAGGACTAAAAACCACAGTGCAGTTAGGGAGTGATAGATAAGAGGAATCTGACTTGCCACAAAGAGGTTTGATGGAGTAATAGATGGATGTCATTTTCTTGCTGTATGTCAGCCTACCAAATCCCAGGAACCTGTGTGTTTTCTCGAGCTTTGAGAAGGAATGGAAGGATAAACTAGTCAAAAGCCATCGGCTGGCAGTCAGGGTTGGGCTATATGGATAGGCTGAAGGTTTCATTCAGGTTCAGCTCTGTAGTGTTTAAGTACATGCACAGTGGTAGTCAGTTGGCAGAGACTCAACACCACTTACAATGGTTAAATCAATCATAAAATGCACAGCATATAAAAATCAAGAAATAAATAAATAGAAGGATATCAACCTTGCTTCTTGGAAAAAGGAGTACCAGAGGCTCAAAACAGCACCCAAGAAGGTTTTCAGTCATGTGCCCACAAAATGGTACCTGTGAGAATGATGGAATAGCAAGAAGAGCCTCTTCAGAACATCTCAAAATATGGAAAAGTTTGGATGAGAGAATACCATGGCTTAAGCTTTGTGGAATTTCACAGGTCATCTTAAGGGAACTTCAGGGTATGTAGGCAAATTGGATCACACCGAACTTAAAAATAGTAGGTTCTGATTTTACTTCTGTCATTTCATGAATACATATCAAGCAAGCTGGCAGGATTGGGATCCACTGACCGGCAGTCATGACATCTAATAGATCCAGAATCGTGCTGGGCCAAACTTCTTAAGCTGTGGCCTTTTCTGTTCCAGCCAATGTTTGGAAATAATAATATAATGGCTTATATAAGATATTTAAAATCACCAGTATGTTTTATCTATGAGAGAGTCCTTGGACCCTATCAGGCTCTGCACAGAATTTGTCACTGAAAAACATTGCAACAAATTTTATAGCACGATTGCAAATCCTTTTAACAATTAACTTGATAAAATGCTTGTATGCAATGCAATGGTATTCCCAATAGTCACTTACGGATGTGAGAGCTGGATCATAGGGAAGGCTGAGCGAAGGAAGATAGATGCTTTTGAACTGTGATGTTGGAGGAAAGTTCTGAGAGTGCCTTGGATCACCAGAAAATCCAACCAGTCCATACTTCGGGAAATAAAGCCAGACTGCTCATTGGAGGGAATGATATTAGAGACAAAGTTGAAGTACTTTGGCCACATCATAAGGAGACAGCAAAGCCTAGAGAAGACAATCATGCTGGGGAAAATGGAAGGAAAAAGGAAGAGGGGCTGACCAAGGGCAAGATGGATGGATG